TGGAGCCAACTAGAAAGTATTATCCAAAGAAATACCACAAACTTTAAGTTCATTGACTACAAACTGCAACTCATATACTTGAGATAGTATAGGCATGTTTTCAATAAATTTAAAATCTAAAAAGTTCGAGATTATAAATTTTTTGTTACCATATTCTTCCGTGAGGTACTTGGTTTCAAGTGGTTTCCGAAGCTCTCTTATTGTACCAACGGAACCATACATGTCATAGATCGGGTCTGCCAAGGCATTTAGGATGTGATCCTTGCATATATAGTCATCCTCCATCCATCTCTTATATGATTGAGTTTGCTCATTGGTGGAGTCACATAATGGTGGCCGCATTACAGGCATCGACTCGGTGATTATATAAACCACTTTGAGAGTGGTAAGCAAAAAGAGAACCTTTTGCTGCCATCTCTGGAAATTAAGCCCGTCGACGTGTTCAAGTCGAGTAAAGTCGTGATTCATGACTTTCAAAGAATTCAAGGCAGTCTCATTTCTTTCACCCATGAGATGTCGTCTTGAATTGTAGGAGTTTTTATAAGGTGAAATAGGGGTAGAAAATGATACAATTTCAAAAGTTGAGAACTTGAATTCTTCTTGTTTCGGGTACGCATGAGCGCTATCTCAAGACAATATTTGCCCCATTCGATTGAATATTTGTTGTACATAAGAAGGGCAATTTGTCCTTGAGATACAGGAAAACAGAGATATTTTATAATGTTCTTAGGCTCTATACACCCGAGCTTGAAACCCACACATGAGACACCCTAATCTTGATAGTTTAGATAGAGAAAGAGATAAAATCGAGTAGAGAGAGAGAATTAGCTCACTAATTTGCTTGCTGTAATTGCAGAGAATGGTTTATTGAGATAAGCTAAAAAATTATTCTAAGTGTCCAAACTCCCATGGGTAGGAGGACCCTTGTGATAGAGTATTAAGAAGCTGCCCATTTAGTGTTGTGGTGGTTACATGAATCACCCAACAGCTACAAGTTAGATGCACCCCAACGACTACAAGTTACATTCACTTGATGGCTGCTATTACAAGTAAATGCGAGCGTACGAAATGCAAAGTGCACCTTCAAGCGCCCTCGTACACGCACGTGTGCGTACCCGTGCATGTCGCACTTTTTGCGTGCTCCGTACATGTGCTTTCTCTCTCCTTTGTACTTAAAAGTATATTGCATGAAAAAGTGTGCTCTTAAATATAGCTCAACAAACTCTCTCTTCTTCAATAATGAACTCTCTCCTCTTCAATATTGGACTCAAACCCAATTATTTCTTTCCCAATAAAAACATTTTAAGAAAGTAAAACCAAAGTCTGTCGTTTTGAAATACACTTCAGCATTTTTTAAACCAAAATTACTAACACCCAACCCAGCCCATTGCCACCCCTACTTCGAATACTAACACCCAACCCGGGCAGTTGCCACCCCTACTTAGAGAAAGAGAGGGGTACGTAAGTGTTAAATTTGTTGTTTAGTTTGGGTGGCTCACAAGAGTCACCATCTCCTAAGGGAACCCAATTTATGGAACTCTTTGAACAAAAACAGTGAATAGTTTGAATTAAGCAAATGTCGCATCAAATCAGACTTTTTGAGTAAAAACAGTGGAAGGCTTGAACCAAGCAAATGCCACCGCCTTTTGGGATTTGAGGATTATTAAGTGATTAATAAATGTCTCACTCGAAAATGACCTCAACTTCCATGTTAGCCTTTCTTATTAGCCACCTCTCTCTCTTTCTCTCTCTCCAATGAGGTCTATCTCCCTCTCTCTCTCTCTAACGGAGTTAACTTTGGAACACGTTTAATTTTAATTTTGTTCTACAATGGGCAATAGTGATCCTTCTAGAAGTCTCTCTCTCTTTTAATGTTATTGGTCACTCGTTAAGACAATAAAATGGTAAAAATAATCCAAATAAGAAAAGGTGTGGTTTCCATCAGGTTGCAATCTTAAACAATAGCACCTCCAAAAAATTTATCATAACATGTAATTTTGGGGTAATTTTTTTTTTAGGATTATCTAAAAATCTATTTTCATTTCTAATTATAAAATTTTAAACTCTAAAAGTACTTCATATATGAAAATCTTAAAAATTGACAGTCTAGATAATGTGTCGCAAGATGCACTATTTCTGAACCTCAAAAACCTTTTTTTTTTCATATTAATGCATCTTGATGTCGAGATGATCAATTAGAGAGTTTTTAACATAAAACCAACTTTTTCGATAGATTTTAGAGGTGCATCTTTAATTTTACATTTTACAGTTGTAACCTTATATAAACTACTTTTCCCAATAAGAAAAGATAGTTTCGAAGAAAGGAAAAAAAGAGAGACAGATATAGTAGAGTAGGAAGAAGAGGGAGAGAGGTGAAGTACGAAAAGGAAGGCAGAAATGGTTGGTTGTAAAGGCTCAAGCGCCAGCTGAAGGAAGTAGAGAACCGTAACTTGTTTAGCCATACGGCTGACAATGAGTCGGATCGGGTCCAGATCCACTGAGATCTGGATTTGGATTTAAAAAGTATATATGAGATTCGGATCTAGATCTAGACCTGATTCGATCCAGAATATTCAGATCTGAATTTGGATCCAAAAGTATACATGGAATTTGGATTCGGATCTCGACCCTATCGGATCTAAAAATTTATTTTATATATTATTTTATATCTATAAAAATATAAAATAATACATAACAAAAAATATTATGTAACATATATGCATATCTACAATAATATATAATATTTTAATAACTGGGTCGGATTTAGATTAGATCCACCTGTACCCGAATCCAATCCAAATTAGTATTTGGATATGGGCCGTACCTGGATCTTGATAGGATCCGCAATTTGGGTTTTGGATCCAAACCATGTAAATTCTCACCTCTATTTAGCCATAGTATCCGCGCTTGGTGATTTCACACCCTGTTTATGTGGAAGGATTCAACAATCCTTCATTTAAGTAGATATAGAATTTCATCCATAATGGAACTCCATGCTCAAGGGATAAGAGGCAATTTACACCACCTGATGATATTTGCCGATTCTCCATCTATTGATTATTCTTATTATGTTCCGGTTGGAGTTGATACCCAAGGTTTTAGCGCCCAAAGCTGAGCCTCATTGATCCCACATTGGTGCAGCCATCCCTGAAATGGCCATAAAGTAGACCCCCTACTGTCCTATAGAAGACCTCCATTACCAACCTCTCCCCATTATATCTTACACTCCCATCAAACTTTAGTTTTACCCAATCCTCAGGTGGGGGATTCCATATGGACGGTTTGATAATCCTAACTGTTCTAAGAAGCAGTGAGTCTTTAAAATTTCGAATAAAGTACTCACTGGGGATGTATTTATATTGCTTCTACGCTTGTGCCCACAAATTCAAAATTACCTCGAGCACTTGTAAATCTCTGCTGTTTCCTTCAAAGGTCCTGCGATTTCTTTCTTTCCAAATATTCTAAGAAATATCAGAGATACCAATCGTCCATAACATCTTCCTGTTTTAGCAAAGGATGTAGCCTACAACTTGCATGATGAGCTATCCTACAATTTCTGGCATCATCCAAATGCCATTGGGATTTGGACATAAGCAACTCCCAAATCTTCCAAGATAAAGGCCAGTGTAGGAACAGGTGTGAATTTTCATCTTCTCCCCTTTGGCATAAAAGACATGCATTAGTAATTATCATCCCTATTTTCCGGTGCGGCTCCACTGAAATAGATCTGTCCTGCGTAAGTAGCCATAGGAATGCTTTGACTAGATTGGGAACTGATGGACGGTGGCAGATGAGATAAAAAAAGGGAAGTAGAATATGTGTGTTTGAGAGAGAGAATACCTCTTACATCAATGGTTGAGAAGCAACAAAAATGACAGATGAAGAATGGGGCATGTCCCATTTTAGAGAGAGAGAGAGAGAGAGATAAACGTGCAGTATCCCCCTCTTTCCTCTATTTAATAATACTTACCCTGTTATTGGATGCCTTTACATATACTGGAGGGGGTACATGGGAACTAGCACATGATAGAGGCTGAGTAACTTGGTTGAATCCGCGTCAATTCTAACAACTTCCTGAACATCGTTACTTAATTTTAGCAAAGATCTATTGGTGTACATGCTGATTTACAATCAATATGTTCAAATTTATTATCTTTTCAAAGAAACTCTTTAGTTTTCCCCACTACTAAGATACGACAAAAAACACCCAACGTATAACTAACACAGACAGAGAATGACACGAATAAAGTTTCCTGAGCATGTACATATTTATCCATCTCATTTCCCCAAGTTCTTAACTTCTCTAATTTTTATTGCATTTTAATATGGAACTTCCGCAGCAACAATCCCAATAGAAACTAAGGTCTTGCTACCATATTTGTTGCTTGGACAAAACACCCATTCTAGCAGCTGAACATTCTATCAAATACATGATAAACCCAAAACTTGAAAACTCCTATTAACAAACAAGAAGCTCAAAATTTGTAAATGGAAAAGATTTTTGGTAAATTTGTTAACTCAGGAATCATTTAAACATTTTGGGACCTTAAACTTTTTTTTAACCCATCTCATGCCCGGGTAAAAAAGCTGGACGGTGTCAGGTAGGCAGCCAACGTAAAACTCTGCCAAAACTTATGATGAAGACCATAAACACATCCAAATCACTACAAGTCCATTAGCAGCTCAAATCCATGAATTTGGACAATTAGAATGGATCTAAAGATTTTCTTAGAATTGAAATGAATGGTAACAAGAAGCACAAGATGAATGACTTTCAAGGCTTACACTATTATTTTTTATATATTCATGATCCTGGTGATCAAGATGATAAACTAGCTAAATTTTGCCTCATGTCTCTATCTCCAGTATGGATTTTGAAAGGTGGACGCACTAGAATAGATGCGTTTGAGAAGCACCAAAACCCTATACTTTGCAGACTCCATTTCACAGACATTAAACCCACTAATATTTGTAGGTTCAATATAACAGAACAAATCCAATTTGGTTACTCCTCTTCTGAAATTTTTAATTACTTCCACAAAAAAATAACACGACATTGTTACCTAAAAGGCTTCATGTTAAAAAAGGCTCATATGCACATTACAAGGATTATATCCAATTAACTTCCCCCAAGGCTAAGGGAAATTGGATACCATGGTCATCAGACCAAATTGGAACATTGCTAACTGTTGATTTCACCATGAGATATTGCTTTTAAATGCAAAAACTTGTTCATAAAAAATGCAAAAAAAAAAAAAGGAGGACAAAATGAATACATGATCAAAAGATAAAAGTGAAGAAATTTACACTTAGATTCGGAAAGGCTGCATCAAAAACTCATTGGATTACGAAATAACATCTGCTTGTCATGTCTGGTAAGCTCGCCGAAGCAGTAAGCAGCAGATGAGAGTACTATACACTCAATAACACCCTGCTATGAAAATCCAGAAAAGCATGAATCAGGCTGAAATAGTTGAGAATGTTTTTCCCTTCTTTTTCCTTTTTTATAATTGGTGGTTTTCTTATGTACGAATTACCTTTGTTTTTTCCTACAAGTAATCCTTATGCAAAGGACCCATACCCAATGGGTGATCCCTTGTTAGTTCCGCATGATGGAGAGGAAAAGCTAACTGTAGTGGAACCCACCAGGACATTCACCCCTTCAAAATTCAACTCCACCATCCATCACCAGGAACAGATGGTGGTTAACACTCCGGGTTATTTTCGAAAATCGGGGCATTAAAATCAAATTGGGGTTCACTTAGTGATAGTTGAGACTACTTTTTTCTTTTCTTTGAAAAAAACATATCATGTGAAGCCACAGAAGAAAGGTAAATGCTAATCTAAGAAAGCACTAATAACCAATAGGGAATGAGAGTACTTACATGAACACCTAGACTTGTGAAAAGAAACGTAAGAAACAGCATATGAATACTCACCTCAATGGCTAATTCTGGTGAATGGGACCCCTGCCACCATGGAAATTGTTAGAAGAATGTGTTGGATGTGTACTGAGAGCAATAATTCGTGGGTTATTGGCCTTCAAGTGAGTGATGAAGCCTCATCAATGATGGTTTGAGAAGACGGAGATTTTATCAGTGACTTCAACTGCTCCATAATAGTGGCAAAAGAAGGTCGTTGCCAAGGTTCACTGCCAAGATTTAGACAATTGAAGAGAAGCATCAGAGTGATGGCACTACAGTAAAACTAGTGTTCTGTAACCTGCACTAGAGCCAGGACGCAAGGGGTACCAGGAACCAGTCGACTCAGCATGGTCCCGAATTTGACAGAGACCCCCAAAAAAAGCACAAAAAATCCCCCAAAAAATGAGGGAAATTCAGGAAAATTAAAAAAGGAACAACCAAAAAAAAGAAAAAAGAAAGCCTTATGCAAAATGATAAAAAATGAGAAGTTAATTTTATTGGCATACACTCGATTAAATTTATGATAATCCAATGTAACATTCAATGCTTCTATAATTTCTAATTTTCTATTGCAAATTCAAATGACTTCCATCAATTTCCGAGTTCCCAAGTCATATTAAAGAATAAAGATAAGCAATAAAAAGCTCCACATCCAACAACCAGATACACAATATACAATGGTAGTGACAGTCTCACAGACATGGAGAGTTAGAAACAAGGAGTAGAGAGCAGAGCCTTGGATTTGATAGAGAACACAAAAATAGGCTTACTGACAAATTTCAACTTGGGTCGAGCTAGGTTTGCAAAACAAAAAATGCAAAACCAAAATTTTTGTCTTTTCTTCTTTTCTTTTTTTAACATTGCCAAATTTGATATTAGGAATCAATAGAGGACATAAACACATCCCGAGGGGTGCATTTTCAGAGAGATCTAAGCTCAAATGAGGGAGACAATGGAAGAAAGAGGGGTCATATTTCTGCCCCCCCTCTATATCATAAACTATCGGTCTCAGCGAGTTTTTGTGGATTCGCCTGAGTTGCCACAGTAACTTGAGCGAGTACTGCTACAGAGGAGGCCCCTAATGAGTTGGAGGGCTTCAGAACTCAACAGGTTGCAGAGCCCAAGTTGGATACCGTAATTTTGGAACACTATTTTAGAACTATAAAAGAAGTGTAAAAGTTAAGACTGCAAAAAAAATCGGAGTAACATGTTTTTGTTGACATACTTCACCCAGCACAAGTCGATTATGGAAGCTATCTCCCGACTCACATTGCTTGGAATCTGAAGCCTTCTGTTCTGGAATGCAACAGCAGCAACCACCTGGAAACAGATAAAGAAGTATTTAGGCGTGTTGGCTCAAACCTAAAGTTTGACTCTGTGAGTGTGCGTCAGTAGATGAATAACAAACCTGGGCAGGATTCAAATTACTCCATGGTTGTTGCAATGTCACAAGTTCCCACAAGATCACCCCAAAGCTATACACATCAGATTTCTCATTTGATGGTTCATCGCGAAGAACTTCTGGAGCCATCCACTCAGGCTGATGAAATATGAAGGCTTTTGGACCATTATTAAGAAAGTTGAATTCTTGCAAAGAAATAAAGAGGTAAAGCATGGACATTTGATGTTTAAACTAGCATAAAGATACTTACAGTTCCAGCTAATGACTTTGAAGAAAGAAATGTGTTTGCCTTCAAACGAGAAAGGCCAAAATCACAAACCTGGATATCACCATAACCGTTAATCATAATGACACTAGAAATAACATGTGACAGGAAAAGGGGAACACTCAAATTAGAATGACATGTCAAAGAAAGAGCTTCATGGTAAAGACAGGTACTATAAACAACATTAAAGAATCCAAAAAATCACACTCTTATTCCCAATCAAACGATATACATATTCTCTAGCTCTTGACAAGGTACTTCAGACGTTTTCAGAACGAGCAGGTCAATGGAAATGAGCATCTACCAAGGTAAATGCTGATATCCTTCTTAGTGGACTGAGGAGAACCTCACAGATGAATATAGTTGCTAAATCTTACCTTCACTGTCCATGTCTTATCAACCAAAAGATTTGGGGACTTTAGATCCCGATGAACAATGGGAGGATTATGGCGATGCAGATAATTCATCCCCTTTGCCTATGCATAACACAAGTAGCTAGTAAGTCGGAAAAACTAAGATATTACAAGCAGAAACCACAGAGAGGCGCTACGATGTCCCTTACCTACATCTAGCAAAAACATCGTAAATAAATTCATATTAAATAAAAGTCTTCTTTATTAATTGTAACGAAGGGTCAACCAACTAACCACATCAAGTGCCATACGCAGCCGGCGCCTATCATCCAATAATTCTCTTGCAGCAGGTTTACGTAAAAGCCGATACAAACTTCCCCTGCAAAGCAATGCCTCAAAAAGTGTGAATTGACGCATTCATTTCCTTATCCCCATCAAATTTAATAACTAAGCAAAAGATTTCAGGAAGCAAACCTTGACAAATATTCAGTGACAATTGACAAGTTTGGAGGGCGAGTCACAGCACCCATGAAAAGAACAATGTTTGGATGCCGCAAGCGCTTCATAATAGCCACCTGATGGACAAGGTACAACCAACACTGAGATCCCAATATAGAAATATTACAAGTATTTTCAAAAGCTAGTGGACTAAAATAATTCTTCGGCAAATCTGGAAAAAATTAACCAATTCTATTTCTAACAACTTTCAAATTTGACCTGTGCAACTAGCAAGTGATGAACCATTTGTCATAAATCAATTAAGCCATCACTATACATCCAGACCATTAGGAAATGGCAGAGGGCATTGTGGGTAGATATGGTTGAAGAGGAAGGCAGACTGGTGAAGAGCTAAGATGCACAGCTGCGGATATGGATACAGCAGTGATGGTTACAAGTACAATACCAATACATACATCATCGTCGTCGTCAAAGCCTTTTCCCAACTAATTAGGATCGGCTACACGAATCCTAGCCTGTCATTCTGCTCTATTAAGAGTCATATCCTCAATGAGGCCATACGTCCCCATATCTTTTCTCATTACTTTCGACCATGTCCTTTTTGGGCCTACCCTTGGTCCTTTATGAGCCTTCTACTTAAACTAACTCGTACCTCCTAACTGCGTCTGCACCACACGTAACCAGCCCACCTAAGTCTACTCTCTCTTATCATATCGCCTATATATATATATATATATATATATATATATATATATAGCTTATGTGTTAGACACATTGATATGCATATACCAAATCATAATGCATAATTTCTATTTTATCAATACCATATTTGCATATTGCATATTAATATCATTTTAGATTTCAGAGGTATCCTAGGAACAACCAGTAGAGGTATCATTGCCATCTCTGTTGAAATAGGTACAGTGAGGCATATACAAGCATCCAATAACCATAGGGAGAGAGATGCTAAAAGAATTTATTTTTTTATTTTTATTTTTTTTTGGGGCCACACCGGGGAAGGGGGTTAGGTGGGTATGTTGTGGCTTACAAATTTCCCTTCAACAAGGTGGATGAGGTGTATGTTATTTAACCTGGATAGAGATACAGGGGTCAATGTTAACTAGGGCTGCCAAAGGATTCTGCCATAGTAAACATATTATAGAGTACAATGTGGGTTTGTGTTTGTGCAAATAAAACATGTATGCCGAAAAAAAAGGCAACAATAACCTGGGCAGGTTTGGAGAATTTCTTTCCCTACTCTAATTTGGATCATTCCAAAAAAAAGAAACAAGAGGGTGAAAGAAGATCATAATCAATCTTTTTGAAGAGTGCTAAGGGAGGTAACATGGAAGATGCAAAATAACACTCTGGAAGCAATGTAAGTCTCACCAAAGAATGTAACAGAAATAATTATTTAGCGAAGGTGAGTGATCGAACATCCCAACTCTCCTTTAATGACATAGTGCACATGTGTAGTGAGGGTCTTGTGTGTATAGAGGGTGCCAACAAGCCACGATTCCTGGGTTTTGTGCTGCCGAAGCACGGTGCGAAATTTTTAGGATTATGCCAGGCCCAAATTAACTTTCAGGCAAGGCACAGGCCCAGGCTGAATGCCTTTGATAAAGCCCGGGCCAGGCCCAACCTGGCCCAAATTTTGGAGTTTTAAGGCCAAGAAAGATACAGTTTGTGGGTCAGTTTTGACCACCTTTTATTACGCTCTCTCCAGCTCTACCCCTCTCTTTCTAACCAATATGGGACTAGACAGAGGGAGAGCTAGAGAGGTGAACATAGAAGATGTAATATATGATGTTAAACATCAAAAGAGTCTAAGATTAAACTCATGCTTCATATTAATAGCCTAGTTTTCTCTGTCTTCAATCTAGGCCATCCCAAAACCTCAATTTTGTTGATCTGAAATCAAACCCCATCTCTCCTAGAAACCCAATTTTTTCTCCCCAAAACTGTTTTTCTTTAAATCAAAATCCACATCCACAACCGAATTCCTCTTCTATCTTTTCTATAATCAACCGAAAACCCATTGTTTTATGGAAAACAACTCCTTCACAGCTCCTTCCCCAAGAAGCTCATGCAAGCGGCCAGATAATCCCCAAATTCCCTACTGAATATAGCTTCCATCAAGAGAAACCCACCATGGAGAACCTAAGAAACTAAAAAAAAGTAGCCGCCAGACTCCAGCCAATGAGCAATCACAAAAGCAGCACATATCCCTACATCATAAAAATCTACCAGAGTGAGAGAGACAGAGAGAGAGAGAGAGAGAGAGACAGAGAGAGAGAGAGAGAGAGAGACTGTCCACCACGAACCGGCCATCGCCCATTGACATCCACTTACAGATTACACTACCAGATGCATACGTACCCACTACCCAAACGAACCCAAAACTCTCACCAGACTACCCAACTTGAATACATATTGGCTACGACCTACTAAGAGAGAGAGAGAGTGGAAGAGTAGGTGGTA